GTGTTCCTACTGTTGCTTATTTTCTGTAATTTCAGTATTTTCAGGGCAAACAAGTATTGTTTGTGTGTGCTTGTTTCTTTATCTGGACAAAAAAAGAATAAAAATTGCCCTTTTCTGCTTCTAAAAGGACTGGATTTAAATTTTATTTTATGAATAGCTCAATCGTTCATTATTTTAGCGAAGAACAAATCAGTAGTTCTCAGTTAAATTTTTGCTATGGCCACACATGGGAAACACTACTTTATAAGCTTCCATTTATATTACTGCAGTGAGGGAATGCATGGTAAGCCATATAGTTCTCCTCTTTAGCTACTGAATGTTTTGGTTTTGTTTGCATCAGACTAGAAGTGGATTAAAAGGTCTGAAAAAGCTTATGTAAAAGTGTTTACTGGTTTTGATATTTAGTAGTCTAAACACAAACATTTACACGTGGATCTGGAAGCCTGACTGAAGTATAAAAACGGAGCCCCAGCACTGATAAACTAAGTTCTGGAATCCAAATATTTGTTTCAGCCAGTAGTTTAAACCTATTTGAAAGTGCCAATAAGTCAGTTGCACTTTTCTTTTCAAGCTTTGTCTATGTAGTTAGAGACATAAAGTAATACTGAGGTGCTATTTAGTACTTTATCTGTTCCATAATAATCACTATCTCTTTGAAGTAGCTCGTTGCTGTGCCAGGGTTTTGAAAGATTGTGCAAAGATATGAACGTATCTGAAAAGACTTGTATCAACAAAAGCAAATGAATCTTCAGGGGTGATGGTTTTATACCAAGAACAGGAAAACATATGGGAGGCAGCCTGCTTTAGCCAGAAGTCTTATAATAGTAAATTTGGACTCATGTCAAGAAAAAAGCAGCTTTAAAACATAGTTCCAGTATAAACTGTTATTATTTGAATTTTCTGAAGTTTAAATGAAACATACAATAAAAGAAGGCTAAACTAATAAATCCTAAACTTTAGAATGCAAATTTTTCCTAATCATATGTTGGAGAGGGCAACAATGAACACTTTCTTCTGTTTGCTAATAAGATATTTTTATAGTAATTACACATAAGATTTTTTTTTTTTCTAAAGAGAAATAACTGTTTGCATAATGTGTTTGCTTTAGGCTGATTAAGCAAACATCGTTAGCCTTGGACTGGGAAAACTTCATTCTTTTCCTCCTTTCTCCCCCTGTCTTCAGAGTACTAAATGGTCTTTAATGCAAATGTATCTTAAATAGATTTGCAATATGTGCAAAGTACTTATTTTATGGTAGGTACAAACTAAGGTGTCACCAGCTCTACAAGTTCTAAGAAAATCTTTACTGTGTTATTAATGACTGTGTCAAAAAATATTTTAAAAGTATACAATAAGGATTGCACAAGATAAGGATTATTTTTCTATATAAACTTAAATAAAAGTAGTTAAATACAGTTTTTTACTTTTAAAAAAATAATTGTTCCAGAATTCTAATTTATAGTATGACTCTTTCCTCATGCACCTGTATTTCAAGGGGATTTTTTTCATGCATACCAGAATCACTTAATGCTAAACTGAAGCAAGACAATACAATTCTAGATGTAAGACCCTGAAGGGGGGCAGGAAGGCAAACCTAGACAATTTACATTGGCTAATAACTTGCAGTCTTTTTTTTTTTTTTTTTAATATAAGAAAAATCACGTAATGACTTTTAACTTCTGTGAAATGTCCAATCATGTTAAGTGTGGAATACATTGCAGAAAATACTTTAAGGTGCTTAGAATAAATAACTTTATATAGGGAGGACAAACCTCTCTTGTGTAGATACAGTATGTCAAGAAAGTTGAGCAAAACACAAGAAAAAACATGTTAGAGTGTTCTTTTCCCTTTTGTTCTTTATGTCTGATCATTCTTCAAAGACTTATTACCAAGAAACATATAGAATACAGTATGACACTTAGATTTCTTTCTCTATTTCTTCTTCCTCCTCCACCTTGTGATCATGTGTATGGTCATAAGCATGGAAAATACTGGTGCATCTGAGAGAATGTCCTACCCTGCTAAACACAGGTCATAGAGTATATGAATGACACACATGAATTTACAAATCAGGAATGAATTGGTGTGCCCATAAATTGTAAGTCTTTAACACAGAAAAAGCAGCTTAGCTTTTCTTGATGTAAAATCAGTGAATTTGGAGTTTCTGTAGCAGATATTTAGCTCATGTTGGTAAAGTGATGTCCAGAATCATACTGTTGATTTTAATGGATTTGTCATGTGCCATGGATTTACTTTAACGACAAGTATTTTATTACAATTTTGCTATGTTTTTAGAGTGATAGACCTTCCTGATGTACCTCATCTGGTGTGGTCCCCTGCGTTTTCTTGTCATCATCTCTCTCTGCCCAATATAAAATATTGGGAAGATTATTAATTCTCTAGGGTATTATCTTGCAAAGGTCTGTAACGTTCTGTACACTGGCCATAATGTGGTTCACTGTATGCGACTCAGTATGTGTAGTTATAAGGATTTTAAAAAGGGCTAACAAGAATTTGATGCAAATGGTGATTGAAAGTAATTGAGAACTGAGTATCTCACTCCTTTAGGCCTCTGAAAATTTTGATCTGTGTACCAACTCTTTGGTGTTTGCAGTGAAGGACTTCTAAACTGAGAGAGTCTTATCCTGAAAAGGCCTTGAGGATGTAGGTAGCTGTATGCAGAAGTCCCACTGACGTCCGAGTGGCTGCTCACTGAAATTAAGTAAATGCATTTGAGGAGGCTGAGAGGGTCTGGACAGGTGGTCCTACCCCGGTGGTGGGAGGTGCTGGCACACTAGTGTTTGTTGTCTTCTGCCGAAGTCAGAGAGCATACAAATACACAGAGCCCTGGAAACAAATCGTTCAGCACTAGCCAGATCTGTTGTAAACAGTCTAATATTTGTAGATAACATCATTTGCCAAATATTCTTATTTTTGGCTTAAGACTGATGTTGACATATTGTAAGAAGTAATCGTAGCTACATGTTGCAGAGCCAGCAGGGGTACAAAAACATGTCGCCTGAGTGCAGGGCAGGGGGATGGCTTGGTTTTGCTTTTCCTTAATGCGTGGTTACATTAGGACATATATTTGTTCAATTATTTTTCTGAAAAAGATATCTAGGGTAATATTATTGCTCTTAAAGTTTGTGCTTGGTAGGTATTTATTTGTAACTCGGTAACTTTTAAGTTACACTAAATACAATGTTTAGCAACTTTATACTTACTATCTGCTTTAGGCTTACCATTTAATATGTACATTTCTAGTGATTTGGCATACTTAATTTTTTCCTTATTTCTTTATCTAAATGTTAGGATGGTCAAGAATTGATTCACTTTGCTCTAGTATCTTTGCAGAACTCTCTTACTGCTGTTTTTTTGCATAGAACAGCTTGGTAAACTTGACTGCATTTCTCAACTCCGCATATTCTGTTTGCGGGAATGCAGAGGAAGAGGCGCTCAAGTCACGTGAGGATTTCTTGATAGCTGCGTAAGGGATTACAGAGTTACATGACATGTGTTCTTCCTAAGTCTTCTCTGTCCGTCTGCCCCTAATCTGATTTTGTTTTAAGTCTGGGCTGGTAGGCATGGTTGAGGGTGTAGATTTGAACCTGGGTTTGGCTTCAGTCTTAACTGGCAATACTCCCACCTTGCTGTGAGAAAGTGGCTAATTAAACCTGTGTGCGTTTATTTTAACAGTATTATCTCACTGTTCTACCTGGTCTGTACTTTTCTTTGTAATTCCTTGCTGCTTTTTCATACTGTAAGTGACCCAGTCTGACTCCGATTTTAACCTCCTTAGTTTATTCTGAGTTTCCATAACATGTGAATAGGGATGTCATTCAAGACACTTCTTTTTTGGTTTGTAGACTGTTTTCCTTAGTGTTGTTAAAGGTTCCTGCTCCAGATTGCTTTGTTTTTGGGTATCTTCAATTGAAACAAACCACTGTTCTGTCACGTCACAAGTAGCACCTTTATGGTAAATCAGAGGGAGAAGTGTGTTCTTGAGAAACCAGCTACTGAAATGCCTTAGTTTAGTTAGTGTTCAGAACCATATGCTATCTTAATGCAAGGGCTAGTTCAGCATCATAATAAACCCTGTTGGACGTACCAGATGTCAGCTGCATGTTAAAATAGAGATGCTCTCTGGATTTGGCTAACTATAACAATTATGTTCTCTTTTTTAATTAGCATTTTTCAAAATCTTGATTTAATGGTTTAATAACAATTCATCTTGCTGTTCAGGTTACGTGGATAAAAATAGAGGAATGAATGTGAATAATTTCCAGCCAAGTAAAAATTCTACTAAATTGTTTTGTTCTTTTTTATTAAAAAAGCAGAGTTTTAAATTTATTTTTAAACACAGTAAAACTTAGATTTTTTTCACTGAAGTGTATTTGTTGCTTTGGTTTAGTCTTTCAGCAGCTAGTCCTTTATCTTCTAATACTTGCAGAATTTTCGGTTTATGTTCTTGTTTTCCAAAACCCAGAACTTCTTTCAAGGGGACCATAAATGTTTTAATATGCAGATCCTTTTTTTCAGTGGTTTGTGGCAGATGATGTTGCCATCATTGACTCCAAGAAATAAGTTAGATTATTGTGTGCTTTGACTTCTGTGTTCGTTTGCAAGCAGCTTTCATTAAACAACAAAAAAAAAAAAAAAAAAAAAAAAAAAAAAAAAAAAAAAAGTCAATCATTTGTTTTCCTCTTATAGTCATTTGTTTCTGGAAGATGCAGAAGATGAGTGGCTTGATAAAATGGTGTTGACCAGTTCAGCCGTTTACAATATTATCTTTAATAGTTTTAAATTTTTTTTTTTTTAAGTATCTGTCTGTAGAAAATTATCATAGTAAAGCTACATATCCTGCGGGCTAGTTCTGGAAAAAGATTATTCTTATTCCAATGGACATAGTTTCAGCTGAGATAAATCAGATAGGTAAGTGTGTGTGATGGTTAGGACTGTATTTAGACAAAATAATAATAATAATTAGATTGGCATGTGGTTCACATTAGTGCTATAGGTTTGGATCCAGAATTGCTTAGGTAGGCAGGAGAAACTGTATCCAATTCCATAAAGGCAGAGTAAAGAGTAGTGAGCTGTAGGTCGGGTACGTTGCTGTGTGGAGTTCCATTCTGGATGTTGACGTTGCTGCTGCTGCTGTTCTCCATCTGGCAGTGAGAAGGGAAACACTGGGAAGACGTTGGGGATGATGAAATGAGAACTAGGGGATCCACAGCTAGGCTGTCATCTTTCAGCTCTTCCCAAAGATTTCCTATAACAAAACAAATGGATTGATTCAACTTTCTTTATGTATGCTTTTTGAAACATTGTTTTACAGTTGGTAATTATACAGTTGTGTATGCTGTATGTGTAGGTACTCTTAGTCACTTGTGATTGAGAAAGGAAAAAGATTGTTTAGATAGATATTCTTTGTCTGTTTCTGTAATAAATTTAAATCTGGGAGAAAGAAGCATTAATTTAAGAAAAGTATTTCACTTTATAATTGGCAGGATTCTGTTGCCAATGTATCCTTATGAAGTATAACTTGTATCTGAAAAAACCCACTAATTTTGAAAGAAGAAGTTGCTTCTGTTACCTTTATAAGGTATGGAAGGGCTAATGGCACTTGTGGGACAAATCTGCAAATAATATTACTTTACAACTGGCCTTCTCGTATTCTTACGGTGTAGTGTTCTCTGAATTGCAAACTAAATTTCTGGATGTGTGATTGACCTGACAAATCAAAAGATCTGAAATGTTACTTTTTTTCTAACGTACCAAAAAGTTTCTCATCTTTCTGTTGAACGTGCATATCACAGTGAAAGCATTAGATAAGTTACTGCAGGAGGGCTGTATTTTTCATACTCATCACTGAAGATTTCTTTGGGGGGGCGGTGGCAGGGAGACTGTTGCCTCAAAGCTATACCCACCATCTGTAGACTATCAAATGGGATAATACTTAGCCCTTTTGCTAGAAGAAGTTTGATTTTGGTTTTGTTTTTATATATATATTTTTTTTTTGATTGTGTGTGTGTATAATGATTTTGCTCCAAGTGTGCAGGCCTTGGCTTAAGTTCTAGGACCTCTATTTTCTTTATAAAATTACCAAATCTCAAATTAAAGTAAAAAGCTTAGATAAGGTTAAATAATTTAAGGTAAAGGTCAAGGACAGAGGGAAATTGGAATCGTACCATATTGGTGAGGCATACAGAATATTTGCAGTACAAATGAGCATGCTCCAGATTAACTGAGTAAAATGGAAAGAGGTTCAGAGGAGTGAGGGGAATGTGAGATCCGGCTGCCTGAAAGGTGAAGAAGCCCAGGATTCAAAAAACTGTCTTGTTAATCTTAGTAAAGCAATCTGGGCATGGCAGGATTGTGGAATATTTGTGACAATACAATGGCAAGGCCGTTGCATTTGCTGAGTCATGTAGATTATTGAGACTGTGGTTTTTTTGCTCTGTCTTTTAGGTTGCTTTGTGTTACCAGTTTTTGTCTGTGCAGGAAGGCAATTCTTGCATGTTATTTGGTGCAGCAAGAGCTTTATCACTTGGAACCCACGGGTTTTATTTTGTGTGTGTACATATATAAATAACACACACACACACACATATATATAAACTTGGTGGTTTTTTTTCTTATTTTTGCATGGAAAGCTATGTTCTCAGTGTTCAAAATCCTGTCCATTCAAGATGATTCAATTATTTAATATAAAAAACTTTACTGTCAGCATTACATGACTAAGTATTTAAGAACACACCTCAGAAAATAGAATTGTTCAGGGCATAGGTCATATGAATGCTTTGTGAAGGAGTAAATAGCATTCTTTTGAGCAGAGATGTGGAAGATATTCGAATAAATATTGATAATAAAAATGTTAATGTATTCATTCAATCAAAATTATTTCTCTTTGTGCCCCTCATGACATTTCTCTTGATATGCACTGAATAGTTGTGCTTGAGTAGTTTTCAGTGGAAAATATGCCTGAATTTAAAAAATATATTCTAAATACTGTATTGCAATATTTAATATCAGCAGTCATAGTCAAGAGTAAGCAGGTTTTTTTAAACTCTGGATGTAAATCTGTAGCTTTCTTGGGAAACTTTTAAAAGAGACAATGCAAAATTCCATGTTGTGCAAAATAACGTAACCTAGTAAACTGGCCTTTGTAGCAGTGGTAAAGACAGGTCGTTAAAAAAGAATGACATAAATGCATCGTATGCAGGTTGGGATGTGATGTAATAAGCCTGACTCTACAAAATACCTAGATACCTACCTTGGAGATCAAAATCAGTCAGGGATGGATTAAGAGCATCGATGTCATTGCTGAGATCTCCTTCCTGCATGAGCGTGTCCTGCACTGTCCTGGCTGTAGAGTGCTCTGTCAGCATCTTCACACCGCAGGTCGGGGGGGTCTGAGCCGGCAGTGGGGAGTCCTGGGTGATGCTGGGCTGAGTTCTGAGTTCACTTTGAGCCTCCCCAGAAGGAAACAGGGTCTGAGGGTCAGGCGACTGTTGCATTAACGTACTTGAGATTTGAGGAAAACCCGGTGGTGATGTATAGCACGCAGTTTGCTGCCCCCCGAGCAAATTTGGTAATGGGTTCTTGACCTGTAGGGCTCCCGATGCGTGGATACTATGTAATGGCTGTGGTATACCGGAGGAAAGAGAGGGCTCGCCTAAGGAATGGGGTTGGACTGCCATCTGCCTGGAAAGGGATGCACTTGCAACACCAGTCGAGCTGCAGGACGTGATTGAAGATCTCAGCTTTTCACTTTTGTCGCCGATCAGTGTGTCAAGTTCTTCTACAAAACAAGAAAAAAGTCTCTGACTGACTTGTTCCTAACAGAGCCTTAATCTTCATAGCTTGCAGCTAGAATTTTAGTCTTCCTCAGGAAATGGGTGAGTGGAATGGCAAACAAAAGTACTAGTCCAACTCCAAAAGCCTGAAATTATTTTCTAAATTATCATTGCCAAGTGAGTATGTAACAAATCATAAATCATTATGGTTGGAAGAGATCTCAAAGATCATCAAGTCCAACCGTATACCCAGTGCCGCCATGCCCACTAAAACATGTCTCGAAGAGCCACATCTAAACGTTTTTTGAACACCTCCAGGGATGGTGAGTCTACCACCTCCCTGGGGAGCCACTTGTTCCAATGCTTAATCGCATTTTTGTATTTAAAGGTTGAATACTTATCAGATAATTTCAAATTTTATTCTATAAAATTTTATTCTATAGTACTTATTTCAGTGTTGTTTTTATCTTTAGTTTAGTAAGATGTCAAGAGAGAATATTTTCTTGGTGAAGTTTCTTTGTGCCTGTTTGGAAGCACTCCTGCAGAATCAGCTCTTATTTAATTCTGCTTTTTAATTTCTTTTGCTTGTTTTGCCAGGAAAACCTTGTTATAACCAGGAAAAATTCTTAAATGCTTTCCTAAATTGTGTATAAATTCTTTCATACAGCTTGGTGCCTATTGCAAAGAAAAGTTCTGGGGACCACTGTTTGAGAACTAATACACTAACATATTACTGACCTGGCTTTGCCATACTCTTCCTTACAGCAACTGGGTCTTTCCTCTTCCATTTCTGAAGCTCCTCCTGCATCTTATCAATTTTGGCTGGATTCAGAGCCCACAAACAGCCTTTCCGAGAAGAATTGCCTGACTTGTTTTCAACTTTCTCAAAGCATTTGTTTAAAGATAAGTTGTGCCGTACAGAATTCTTCCAGCCATCTGGAGCTGTCTGGAAAAACAAATCCAATCTAAGAATGGAACTTCAAGGAAAAAAAAAAAGCACAAATATATTTCTCTGTTTTGACCGATGAGATTATAAGAAATGCTGCTTAGATTATACTTGCTACAAAATGCAACTTGTACGTTAGAAGGAAGCCACAAAAATGTTACAGTCATGTTGTGCGGGAAGGGAGGAATCAGATATAATAGCAACCGATCTTCTAAGCAAAACGATTGGCCTTGTCAGAGGGGCTGCTGAATTCTTAAAAGTGAATTTGCAAAACACAAGAATTAAGTGTTTAAAGAATTACATGCTGGAACTGTGAACTAACAGGAAATCTTAATCTATTTTGGAACACCTAGAAAAATGTCAAACACTTAATTGAAGGACTATGTGCTACTCAGACTCAAACTTAGTGTCCAGGCAGACTTCAAAAGAATTTTAGCATGCTACGGTAGGTGTAACTTTGTACGCTAGCCAGTTATATAAGCAAATGGTTTAATCACAAGCCCTACAGATGAGATACAGGGTTTTACATCTGATCACTGCATCTTTTTGCTTTGGGTTTATTTTTAACTTGGTAGTGGAAGCTGGAAGGTTCTTTAAACTGAACAATGCATATAAGCTTCATTAAAATGATTCCTTTATTTTTATTTAGGCCATTTCTGATCAATGAGGGGAACAAAATTCCCTCCTTTCCCTGAGGACAGTTTTGCATTCAACTGCAAGAATGGAGAGAAAAGAAAACCTAGTGCAAATGCTCTGTTTATAGAATTTAATTTTTACAATTTTTTTTTTTTTTCCTGATTGCTTGTAAAAGAACTTTGAAAATGTATATCACTGTAAGGGATGAAGAGAGAAATACCCAGCAAAACGGTCATGCTCACATTCATATGGGAAATACCTGTTTGCTTCCTAGTCTGAAATACAAAATGGCACTGTATCCTTTTATTGCATGTAAATTTTCTGGTGTGTGTTTTATTTGTTTTCACTCATTTCTGCTTATTTAGTCATGCAGCCAGAAGATACTGCCCATCACATTAAGGCTTTGTAAATTAGTATGTGTGTTCATATCAGAAGATTCCTATAGTACATTCCTGATGTGTCACTTCCTTGCTTTTCTTTCAATAGGTCCTGTACAATGCTATTTGTTGCATATCTGAGTAGACCTGTCTTAGCTTATTGCCACTGCATGGTAATCTTTTTTTTTTTTAAAAAAAAAAAAAAGGAGCAGGAAAAACGACTTGCTACATAACAGTAGGTATCAGCTTGAGAAACTCAACTTCTTTGTAATAGAGGCAACTGCTAGTCCAGCTAGACTTCCCCTGTCATTGTAAGACCATGTAAAAAAAATCGTAGCTTTACCTGAGTCAGTCAAATTATATTCTTTCCAAAAGGTCTGCATTTGCAAGGATGAAAAATCTCAAGAGAGAGAGGCTTTAGAGCTCATTGGATTACAAAGAATGATCTTCAGTACTAGGATTTGTGAGGCCTTTTTTCTTTCTTTTTTTTTTTAATCAATTTTTGATGCTTTTTCTTTTCTTGTTTCCAAAAAATCCTCATCTGTGTATCACAAGAATTAAAAGAAATTAAACAACTCTCTGAAAGGTGGGTGAAGTTGTCTATGTGCCACTATTGTTTCATATTCATGGATGCAAAATATTTGTCGTCATAACTGTTTAGATCAACCACAGAGAATTATTGAACAGAGAGCACAAGAAATAAATATGATTTCCATAGTCTTTTTAAAGAGGTTAAATATTAAAATTTCCCATTTATGCACATTAAGTTTCCTTTCCATTCTTATGCTGTATTACTAGGGATTCTTCTCTCATAGAAAGCCAGCTTTTTGATAGTTTCTCTAATTGTTGCCTAGTGTCACAATTTCCTCTAAGACCATCTTTTATAAGTGGACTTGTGTCCATTTTTGCTTTCACATGATACACCATGAATTTTTGAATATTGACAGAAATTCTACTTTTATCAGGAATGTAAAATCTGTTCTTTCCTAGCTTGTGAAGGACTATCTTGTGGGTTAAGGTGTTAAAAGCCTTACTGTAGAATTCAAGGGTCAAATTTAATACTTGCTTTCTTCATTTAAAAAAAAAAAAAAGTTGTGGAAGTTAAATACATGTTATTTACTAAAAAGAAACCATTTTCCCTTCATAGCAGCACAGTTTCTACCCTTTTGGCCCACCTGATGTCAGCATTTCACTATGCTGCTAGCCAGTCCCATAGGTGAGAGAACATGCATTTTTATTTAAAAAACAAAACCAAACCACCACCAACCCCCCCCTTTAAAACTCTTTCTACCATAAGGTAATGCTAAAGATGATGAATCAGTTTTTCTCCCTTGCAGATCATATTCATGTTGCATTCTGGCAGTTCCAAAAGTAAATAAAACTGTTCCTCCTAGGTAAGATGTGTACTTAACTACTGAATAAGCTAACCTGAAAGAATATTCATGGTTCTTGCCCTGCACATGAGGCTACATAGACCTCTGTCTGTATCTAGAGAGGATAATTAGTGTTTCTGCTAAGCACCAGAGAAGTTGGGAGTGGCATGTGTTTCTCAGAGGTTTTCAGAATGTGTGGGGGTGTAAACTATGAGATAGTTTTAGAAATGTAAGAGCACAAAGTACACAGATTTATTCTGGACACTGCTGCCAAGAGTTGAACAGGTTCTTGCACTAAACTTGGTATTGCTGAGCAGTGAAAAATAGTCGTTTACCTCGGTAGGCCCTGAAGGAACACTCCGGCAGTGTGTTCACGTTACAACTCTGTCACCAGGTTTTTTAAGTTAACATTTGATTGTCTGTTAAAGACCTGAGCTTTGGCTACTGAAGTTGCGCTTGTGTAGTTGGAATCTCCTTGCTATGGCTCGTTTCTGCTGCTGCTGCATTCAGCGTAGTGTGGATGAAGCTGCGTGGAGTTGGACGCTGCAAGAGAATACTTGCTGCTCTAAGTTCCATCAGACCACAGACCTTTCTAACCTCTTGGACCACTGGCAATAACTCCAATTAACAAGATTAAAGCTTTCTGTTAGACTCACAAATCACTACAAAGAAAAAAAAAAAAGGATGACAAGCAAAAAATATTATTGTACAGACCCATTGATCCTGACCGCCTCTTGAAGTTTAAAGAGTTCAGTGATCTTGCAAAACCCTTTCTCTTTAAATCTGGGTCTCAAGAGAAGGGAGAGGTACATCAAAGAGTAATTCAACTTTAGCTGCGTAGATGTTTTTTTTAGGACGTAGGAGTTGGATTGCTCTGTTTCAACTAGAAATGAGATTGTTGCATCATAGAAACTAAATTTGCTGTGGCAGCGAATACAAGTTAATTTGACTAGGCTTGTATCATCTAATGTCTCCCAGCAAGATTCTGTGTACACTTGTATTCTGTTTCTCTCCAATTTAAATTACTTCCCCCCCCTCCTCCCCTGTTGTATCCTGCTATTTAGTGAGTTCTGGTAGCAACAACAAAATGTTCTTTGCTGATTTTTATATTACTTTCTTTTGCTGAAGACTCTGAAAAAGGGATCATAGAGTGCCATATTTTGGTAATTCCGTGGGCTGCTGTAAAGACCAGAGGTAGGCAGGGCTTAGTGCCTGTAAGCATAATATTTGCTTGCTTATTCTCCCCTGCTTATTTTAAGGATGTTTGGGATGGAACTATTCAATCATTTGACTGTATTTGTAAATAAAATGCAAAAATAAAGCCGTCACAAAATAATGAATGTTCCAGTAGTACCCCCTGCACCATCCTCTTCCTGTAATGCATACAACAGCAGTAACCTAATTCTCATCATTTTTGAAACGAATTAAGAAAGAGACACAAAAAATAAACGAACAAAAAACCCAAACAAAAAAACCCCACCACTGGTAAGTAAGAAGGGAAAAGTTTAGTTTAGGTATAAAACAGTTATTTAAAGCTGTGGTAGAAATATACCTAGTGCACAGATGAGCATATATGTATACACACATCTGTATGTATGCACACAGACTGATATTTGAACACACACCTATTTATACACATTTACACACAAAATATCACAATACATACAATACAGAATATTTACACACAATATATAGTTGAGGAAAGGATGTATAGCTCCCTAATGTTTCTGCTGTGACCGAATAACTTCAACTTCAGGACCAGGAAAGTGACACCTGGCAGAGCCGCAGTCTTGTGCCTGAGGAATTCTGTGCATGTTGGCAACAGCAGCATTTGGTTTGCAAGCTGCCGATTCATTTTATAATCGATTGTGTTGTAAGACACAACGTGGAGAATTAATTTCACTTTGGTCTGATGAATAAAGGTGGACATGGCTGTAAAACTTATTTTTAATATTCCCACCTCTCTGCTTGAAACTCATGCTATTTTTTCTAGAAAACAGTAATCAGGTAAGAATGTATTATTTTGCTGTAGATCGCATGATTTGTGCATTATGGTAAGAAGTGTAGTTCTGCAAAATAGCAATTTCAAGATGTTGTGGCCCAGGACCTTTTTCACAATCCTCAAAATATTTTCCTTTGGATTATTACTGTTTCTTGCAGCTAGTGGTAAATGCATGTGAAATAGAGTTAATATTCTCTTAGGGACAAAATACAAATCTTGAAATTTTTTCATTTTCAAAACAAGAATTAAAATTTACAGCTACTATGTTCTTGTCATGTGCCATTCTACCTTTCCTCCTTTCCTTGTTTAGATTACTGTCATTACTTAATTTCATGTGCGTTTGGCCTAAAAATCAATTGTGTCCCTGTGACTTAACAAAGTTAGAGTGCTTCAGATTTTTTCCAGTGGATTATGACCAGTCATGTTGTGATGGGATACTTCTTGAATGATGATGGTAGATTTCTTTATTTTTTCTCTTGCTTGTAGCAAATAATAGAGAGCTAGTGATTCTTTTCGAAGGAAATCTGGGAATACAGAAATGTAATGGATCCTAACAGTTCTTCCTTCCTGACAATGTGTATTCTTTTTTTCTGATTACCAACATGTTCAATTTTTATTTTTTTTTTTTTTTTTTAGAGGGGGGCATTATTTATCCTTGGCATCTAAAAATTGCAAAATTGTATCAGAACAGTTATTTTTCGTTATTCTTAGTGTTCTTTTCTTAATACAAATGTTTGAATTGCCTTTCTGTAGCTGCTTTAAATTTGGTTTAATTGCTGCATGTTTATTTGCAATAGGAAACAGGACAGATTCATGTTGCTTTATTTTAATTTTTGGGCTTTGCTAACAGTTGCAGGTCACCTGATCTGGACTTCTAGTGAGATGTTTTTGAAGAATCGGCAATAATAAAGCTCTGTGATGAGCAGCAGTCGACGATTCTATTATAGCTCTTTTTAAATTCTTAACTGTAATCCTTCTGCTCTTGGATCATGTGCTGACTCATCTCTTTCCACTTGCATTCCAAGTGCAAGAAGCTATTCTCTTATGGCATGGATTTCAATTTCTGTAGCATCTGCTGCAAACCATACACCCTTACCTTCACCAACATTCCTGTGTAATTATGAGCTTAGTACTATTTATCACATACTATACTTTTCTTTGTACAGTGCATGCAAGTGATGAATTTGCCTAAGATGGATATCCCAGCTCCAGAACAGAGGAAGATAACCTTGAACCTCTGCTTCCACATGAGTCTGGAGGTGCTAGTGATGGCAGAGGAAGCCACAAGACCGGTTCTGCCTGCATGTGAGACCTCAGAGGAAGGAATGGATGTGTTTTTAAAAATATTTATCCTTTTTATGAGTTGTTAGTGAGGAATGGGCACTGTTACCCGAACAATTTCAAAGTTGGAACAGTTCTTAATATCTTTTTGTGTTAAATATTACCCCATGCCATGTTCACACTTCTGCCTGGGCCTAAACTGCTGTGTAATTTATGATCATGAAGGTATGTAGTGTGTAGTTGATTTGATATTAATCTACTAAGAAGTTATCCCTTTTTACAGATTGAATCCCCTCCCTTCCCTCTGCTGCCAGGTAAGCTTAGAGAGAGATTTCCCACCCCTCCCTGTGGAACTCACCTTAAAGTAAGGGAAATGTTCCGTCATGAAATTGTAAATCTCACTGACTGGCAAACTCCCTGTCTTGCTGTTTTTGAGTGCCATGAAGATCAGGATGCTTTAGGGAGAGAAAGAAAAGTATTTTAGCCTGTTCTGCTTGACGACTCAGAAGCAGAAAAAAAGACCATTTTTCACAGTCATAGCATGAATACCGATGATGGTTAAAGTTTCCACTCAATTGTTTATAAGCAATCTCCTTACACTACTTAACTTCTAGAGGTAATTCTTGAAGTGCATATAGAAGGTTCAGCCTGGGTTTAAAATAAAGTAATAGAAAGTGGAATCAAGACCACAGCCTTCAAATCCTGCGAGTGTGTATTTATTTAAGCTTATGTTTGAATGATTAAACTGATAAGGGCCAGAAAGAGAATATCAAACTGATAGTGACAGAAAGTATAATTAAAATTTAATTGTCTAATTTACTTTGTTAGACTGTTATTTGGGGGCTAAGCCTGTGTGGTGACTGACATATCCAGTATGTTTTCTAGGCATTTTTTTTCCCTAGCAACTGGAGAAAAAAATTGGTTTAATATAGGTCCTGGAAAAGTCAACTAAGTATGATCAGTCTTCTGCTGATGAAATTTGCAACACCTAAGATTTTGTATTAGAGAAGCGTCTAGCCTTTGTGGGGATGAAGACTTTTCACAAGCTTTACAACATTGCATTTCCCTCTGCCTTGGCCCCAGAGTCTGGAACATCTTGTGATTCATACAAACAGGACAGAGCACACTGGGAACAAGACAAGTAAGAGTAAGCATGTTATTGCAAATGATGCTGGAAATAGGCCATGGGTAAACAGTGTATTTCCTGTAACATTAGGACTTGAAAAAATATTTTATTACCTGTAGGAGTAGATGGGTTTGGGAAATAGAGGCTGCTGGGATTCTTGACTGCTTTGAGGAGCGATTCTTTGGTAAGGGTAGTGTGAAGAAGTAATGTAAGTCACAGGATAGCTGCCTCCCGAGGAATACTGACGAGACAATAAAAGAGACATTACTTGGCTTAGCAACAAGCTCTCAAAAATATTTCTTTCTTAATAAGAGTATTAAACTATTTAGTTCTGAGGATATTGTCCTCTGCCTACGTTTAATACCTGTTATGCCAAGTCAAACCTAAAGTCTTCCTAGCATGGTTTTGGAAAACATTACTAGTTAAGAAGCAGAAGAAGGAGGGCATGTATGAGGAGGAACTCACTGATAATGTTGGCTGTTACCAGATCCTGTTGCAGCATGTTCCAAATTGAAGTATGTAAAAAAAGTACTTTCTTTTATTATTACCTGCTGTGCTACTGAGTTCTGGTGAAAAATGAGAGTAATTGTACCCTATTAATTGTCTCCAGATTTTACAGACCTAAAGTATATCTCCCTTCAGCCATCTCTTTTGTAGTTGAAGTATCTTAGCCTGCTCAGTCTTCCCTGAACATTGCACTATGCAGACAAGTAAATTAATGATGTAATTTTATTTATAGAAGTAAACTCCACCCCCTTGAATAAAGTACTTCAAACTATGTACAATATAGAAAAATAAACCTATTCAATAGAGCCACAAAAATATAGGAAGAAACAGGGAAGTTTTGACTGAGCCTTGTGTGGTTTTGTGTGCTGTTTTTTAGGTGGAGAGGGATACAACAAGGCAAAAATTCAAAGTGTGTAAAATATACTCCCGAGAGAATAGCATCCCAAAGCATCCGTTCAATTTGCTGTTATAAGGCAAGGCAGTAAAACACGAAACAATAACAACAAAAGCTTTAGTGGATGGCATCAGAATATGTATCAAGTGAATGTATTGTTATAGAATAAGTTAATAATTTCATTCTAGGGGTCAGGAGAGTGGCATGTGAGACATTTCTCATAGGTGGTTTTCATATTGCCTGACCTGTGCTGAAGTTGTGAGGCTACTCTCTGTCGGTTCCCTCATAGTCAATGACAAGAAAGGACTTCTCCAAGAGGCTGGGAGTTTAAGTTCAGGAAGCATTTGTGCTACCCTCACCCCACTCCTAGGGACAAGGAGCAGAATGCTACCTGAGACTGAAAGGCTAAGCCTGCTCTTCAAGAGATCACTAAGCCTGCCCAGCTCTCAGGACACACTAAAGAAATGGCTGGCCTGTCATGCGATCACCACGATGGAAATATGCCAATGCAAAAAAATAGGTGAAAGAGGGGAGATAATACATATAGCTAGCCTCGATTGCATCAGAGTTTCTGTAGGTTTGCTCTCAATTTTTTAACACAGCAGTTGGTCACATATTTTTTTCTTTTCCAAATTACAGTTTAAACCTGCTGGCAAGCAACTTTCAAGAACAAAGAAACATTACCCTGCTAAGGTAAGATACCATCAGTTGGCTCTCTGTGAGGCAAAGGCTCCCACTGAACTCAGAGCTCAGTGTGAGAGGAATTTCTGCCTCTTACTGATGAATCTTTCCAGATGCCAGGGCTAGGGCCTGGCCAAAATTAGGAGTCGTGTCATATGCTATTAAAAATCTACCTGCATGCCTTCCCTAGTACTCAAAGGCTGCTGAGCCCTGTTCTAGTCTTATACTGCTCAGCTCTAGAAGTCCTGTGTCATGAGGCTTTTATGGTTCCTCTGAAAGATTATAATGTAGCTTTTGAGACTTGTTGGGAAAATTTCCTTGGTAATTAGTTTATACGTCTCCTCAGTTTCTTACTGTCATTCCTAATTTTGGACCAATAGCTTCTGTTGGTCTTGGTCTTTGTCCCCTTGAAATACCTGTGAGAGGTTAGCATGCGCTTGCAAAATGTTCATAGTTTATTTGTTTGTTCTGGATTCTGAATAATTCATTTCAGTTTCTCAGTAATTTTATTGTTGTTGCTTGAGGTTTTTGCCTGTTTGCTTTTATCTTTCCAACATTGAACTGCCTGAAATGGAATGTGGAAAAACATAGTGAATACACTAATTTGTTTGCTACAGTAAGCAGGGTGAAAGAAATGAGATGTACATAATTAATCATGTCCTGCCTTGTTAAACTAAATACTGGGCAAAACTGCAGTCTCCAGAGCAGCTGTGAACTAATTTCTGTGTGCAGCTCTGTGCTGCCTGCTTTGTTGTATTGTGAGTAAATTTTTCACTAGAGTAGAAAACAGGGCAATTCATACAATATTTTGATTTTATTGGTTTTAATGCCTCTTTGAAAAGAAAGAATACTAAGATGGCACTGATTGCAATGTCATCACCAAAGGCAAGAACTGGGCGTTTTAAGGATTATTTCTGTTTTATTGGTTTCATTACTCCTTTTTGAGGGAACAGAGGCTGGGGAATGGTCTGGTATGACAGGCTTGAGCTGGTTTTACAGTCGCACAACTGGCATGAAAGGTGTCCGTGTTTTATGGTGGGTGGGTAAGTGACTTCAGTAAGTGCCTACTATTTCTTTCAGGTCAATAAGAAGTAATTTTTCTTATGAGTCATTGTGTGTGTTGTGTCCAGCAAAGGGGAAGATGAGGCCATTTTATCATTTGGCCAAAATTAACGAAGGAGTTGATCTCTCTCATCCCTCTAATGAAAAGTGAGGCGTAGTTTGAACATCCTTCACTTCAGGCTAAAGGACCCGTTCTCTTGAGTGTAACTTCCTAGTGATTTAAATTGCCCTGCTCCATTCAAATTTGAAATGTAAAGTATTAATACTGGAGCTGCTTCATGCAAAAGATGTTATTCCACTTCTTCTCAGTCTTGATTCACATGTTCTTTCATTTCCCAGTATCTGATTATGGCACACGGACAGCAATTCTACCTGTTACGACTTTGGCTCCTTATACCTATTGTTTTTTTCCTCCGAGTAGTAGAACATGTTGCCATACTTTTACTGTAGTAACATTAAGAAGCACAAATACTGAAAAGTCTAACAGAAACCTGCTGCATGTAAAAGATCTGTCACAGTGCCAGCCTGCAGGTGGATGGAAGACTTTCCTCTTAGTGCTTGTTGTATCTTGCCTAGCAACTCCCAGAAGGTGTATTTCAGCTTTAATTTTGTAGGTTTTTTGAATGTGGTGTAGTAATACTACTGGTATCAAATCAGCAGTGACAGGTGAAGGGTGCCTGCTTCAGAAAGAGTAAAGAAATTTTAGAATATTCAAATGAATTAACAAGCTAACTGGAGTTTCTGCTAAAGCAACCCATAAACCTGACGTTTTTACTGCATGCGAGATGTACGGTGCTGTGGCACATCCACAATATCTGTACTGCAGTCCCAGTGGGGAACTGGTTTATATTTGCAGCAGAGCTTTTGTGGTGAATTAGTCCTTCATCTGGGACTCTTTGCTTCTAAAATAACAATAATAAAATCAATGCATTTGTATGTTAGGATGGTAGTGTAATGTCACCTTTCTTTTTATTCTATTTTAATTTTATTATTACCTTTTGTCACTTCTATTGAGTTTTAGGCTAACAAGAAAAAACAAGTAAATTAATTATGATGGTGTTGATAAGAACTTAAAAGATAGTTACATTTTTGCCACATTCTAGGGGAAAGAAAAAGGTTCAGTAAATTCTGGCCAGTGGCATGCCAGAGCGATAAGTAAAAGAAAAAACCAGGAGTGAGACTATTCCCTAGCCGTATTTCCTAACTCAATGCAGGAGAACTACTTCTGTTATCTATGCCTTCTCACATCTATTTAGCATCTGAACACTTCTCAAGTTTTACAAGGCCACCCACTGAGGACAGTGGATACAAAAAACCCTTGATATTGGAACTATTTGAACTTGACAAATTGCGCTGTCCTTGTGCCACACCTAGTTGGAGAAGAACCTCTGTGGCCCTGGATTCCTAAGTTGATTTAAATACAAAGTCCAGTTAGTGGTCAGGGGCTGGCCACAGCTGAGGGAGTGGGAAGAGAAAGATGACAGTAATAGGAACCTGATTTTAGAAGTTTACTTTGTGTGAGTGTAGGCACTTGAGAGTGCTTATTGAGCTGCCTTGCCACACCATCCTATCGATCGTTTTAACTGTCCCGGACACTAGAAGTTCAGAAAGGCCGTAGAAGTCCCTGAAGCTCTCCCAAGTGGTTGATACAGTTAGTCCGTATTTTATTCCTCTGTATATCTGAGGGGTTACATACTGTAATAATGAGACATCTTCCTTTAAGTTTCTGTAGACAGGTGCGGGATTTATAATTATAAGAAATACACGCTTAAAAATAGGAAAATCCGCAACTTTCATTCTTCCTTAGTAATGTTTTACAAAACTCTTAACAAATGAAATTCCTAAAAAGTCATCTGTGATGGATGATTCAATTTTATCAATGATCATAAAATTCCAACATACGTCTATTCTTGTTCTTTATGGTCATTCAACATCTATTTTCAAAAGTTACTTAAATTTCCTCTTAAAAAAATCATGCCAAAAATAATCTTTCTTACTCCTCATGAGGGACTAAATCCTGATGATGAATGGTATGATTCCTATTCAATGACTCACACTAGTAACACCATATGAGTTAACAATCCCAAAGAAATATCATAATGTAACCTGTTTTTTGTTTTCTTTGCACAGTTTTAAATCACTGCTCTGTTAGCCACATTTTTTATACTTCTTGAGCAAGTTGAATGAGATGGTATAATTGATTCCACAATATCCATCATCAGTCACTGGGATCAAAGGAGTCATAACTCAAGTGTGAGCTTTTATGTTCAAATATTATATATATATATGATTTTCCTGTAAGTGTAATTCAATTCTAATGGTTGGGAGTTTTGGTAGTTGTGCTATGTTTGTGTATGTATTTCCACACATATATCTGAAAAATCCTTGTTGCCTTAATTTCACCTTAAATAAGTTTTGGGTTTTTGGGGTTTTTTTTGTTTGTTTGGTAGTTTGTGGGGTTTTTTTTGGTTTTTTTTTTTTTTTTTTTTTTAAATAGGGTGCTTGAAGCATATTTTTTTTATCTCCTCAAATGTCTTTCTGAAAATTTTGTACAGTGCAGATAATGGAGCATAAAAGAGGGAAATTTCAATGCATTGAACAGCACTACCATTTATATATAAAGGAAATTATTTAAAGATATTTCAGAGTCATCAAAATTACTTTCTGTGATACACACCCTCCCTCTAGGCCAAGTTTTCAAAGCTCAGCAGACCACACTCGCTAACCTCTATAAATGTGTGCTAGGATCACGTGTAAGATTAAGGTAGGTATGTATGTATGATTTTACAAAGATACTGCGTGTATGCTGCTTTGAAAATATGAACTGACATGTTTAAATGACATCTAAACACACTCAAGAAAAACAAGGTGTCAGTTACTCCTGTGCATTTTTAGTATTAATAATATAGTTACATTAGAGAAGAACAACCTTAATATTGTGCATTCTCATGCATCATCAGCATTATTGTCAGTTATGCTTCAGCTGAATAATCTTTCACTGAGGATGATGTAACAGTCAAAAGATTGCAAAAGAGATGTGTGCACCATCAAGCATAAGGAAGGCGACCATTGTCTTGCTGTTAAAATTTTCCTTTAAGAGTATTTTTCTATGTTTGATCTGAATTTTAAGTATACAGTCACATATTTAATTTTTTGTTCTGAAGTTAAAGCACAGTTAATTCCCTGGGATCCTGAAATGCCAACAGTTATGTTAATAATTTGTCTGATTTCAAAGACAATTTGCTTAAGCATAATGGTGAAAATATAAATAAGCAGTACCAAGATTCCATTTTTACAAGGTGTGTGGGTTTTTGTTTTTGTTTTTTTTTTTTTTTTTTTTTTTTTTTTCTTTTTTTTTTTTTTTCTGGATGACCATTTTAAAATGCATTTAGATGTGGTTCTTGTAAGATCTCATTGTCATAAACAAAATGTATGTTTGCAAACATGGCCCCGCGAACACAAATTTAGCAGGTATTGTTCCATCTGTCTCTGTTTATTATTACCATAACTACTATACCATTGTAGAAATACAGAGGATTTTGGTCTGCATATTGTACTGACCTGATGGAAAGGATGTGAAGGGCAATACATTTGCTGCACTTGAGGCTGATAGCAGTACAAACCAGGCTGCCCTTCCAGTGGGGATGTCCTAAGCTTGATGTCTGAATCCTGCTAGAAAATATTTAAGGAAAGATTTATTAAAGAAAACACCTCAATTTAAAATATAATAATTCTGCTAGTTACTGCTCTGATTTGTCTTTCTTTATACTTACTACTTTTTTGAACTTGATCTGTCACAGTAGGTGTTACACAGAATTTGTTTTATATTCTAGTGGCACAAAAAGAAGCATTGATTCCTGCATTTATATAATTATTACTTTTAAAAAGGAAATCCCAGTCCAAATTCCATGGAAAGAGCAATTCAGAAAATGTCAGTTTCTGTTTATCTTTTTTTCCCCCTACATACACAAACTGCATACTCCAGCTTTCATTCCTGAGTGTGCACATGTGTGTCTGCCTCTCTCTCTTTTTCATACTCCTTCACTTTGTTCTGCAGGCTGTCAGTACCTCAAGCTGATGCTGGAGTTTTGTCATTAGGTAGAGGGTGAGGTCTATAATGCACAGGGAATAGGTGGCAGAGAAGAATCAAACTAGGCTGACTACTGAATTTGATCCAGATACAGGAAACATAGTAAGAGTGTGATTTATTTCTGCAACTGTGGAAATAAACAGAGAGAAGTTGATCAAATCTTAATTTCTCACAGGTCTGCCCAGCTGCCTGTCCTGGGTTCCACATAGGGCTTGATTCTGTTAAGGGCTCAGGCTCCTGGATGTTAAATGTTGCTGTCTTTTAGTTAGAATGCTGAGTGCACCATATGGTGTGTTCGGTAACACTGTCTGCTTTAGAAGAGCAATTTGAACAAACTGCATGCTAAGGAGAGAGCTAGAGAGAACTCTAGCTGGTAATAAACAGCGCAGGGAATGATGTGTCCTTATCCACGCATCTGGTGACTGACTTCAGGTTCCTTCCCCAACTTAACATTGATTGCCAGGAATTCTCTTCTGAGACCTGATGTTGTAGACATCTTATTATTTCAAGGAACTAGTAGCACTTCTCTTTCTGTTTTAAAACAAGGCTATAATGACCATCTTTTATGGTATAGGCGTACATATCAGACTTGATTTGATATCTTGGCACCAAGCAAAAGCCACATCCAGTATTAATAAATGTCCATGCTATTTTGGTGACCATAAGATGAAGTTTTTCAGAAATGTCAACTTGCCAGCAGCGTGCAAGCTATTTAAGAGCTTTGAAGTTGGATGCTGACTGAACCAGTGGAGACATTAACAAGTAGCCAGTCTTTTCCTGAGTAGTCACATGTACTTGGTAAAGGGCTCCTGCAGTGCTAGCTTTACATTCTCTACATCTTGCAGCCCAGGGATTTGGAAAGAAAATGGGAAATTTTTTCATCAACTGTTTATAGGTTGTGCATTAAACTCATCTGACCTAGATGAGTATTTATCCAGGAAATAAGAGATTTAGATCAATTTCCTCCTTAACCTGAATGGCTTCAATCCCCAGGTATGTACCCTGACAACATCCCTCCATTCCCTGGTAAATTGTTTTAATCCAATTAAGATTATTTTTTTTTTTTTAACCCTTCTTTCTTTCGGTAACCCTTGAATTCTTTGGCTCACAGCAATTCAGAACCAGTAGTTAAGGCCCTCTCCTGGCAGATGTAGTCATTTTTTTTGTCTGCACTAGATTATGAAGATATGCTTTACATTTTGGATCACAGCAGAGGTACCTTGTGGAGATACTGGAGGGTAATTTACCTTGCTTTTCAGGGATCTCTGTGCTGCCCTGAATAGGCAGTCGCCTCTATCCAGTAAGTGCATCACCCCAAGTACCTTTACACTGCACATACCATAAACAGTTCTTATATTTAATTTTAAGTAGTACTGCTGTGTTAGAGTTTCTCTTCTGTTTGAGTTGAGAAAAATGCAGATCAGCTGAGGTGTTTTAACAAATTTGATACACGTCCTCGTGCTTGAAAAATACTGTTTTGTGAACTTTTGTCCCTTGAAAATACTATTTGATGGCAACTACTGATATAAAACCTGTCGTCAAGAGGAATTTGGATATTTAGGATTCATGTATCATGTCTAGTGGAAAATCGTTTGTCCTTGTGCACCTTTCTGAGGACCGTTTTTC